ACAATACTTGTACTTTTACTAGCGTCGGGTAAGTAGTCTATGCTTTGCCATTGTAGTTACTTTATTATTCGTTTATTTCTACTTAGATCCTATCTAAAAATCCGCCATCACAATATATAGCACGACACACATTAATTCTTTTTAATATCCATTTTTTCGCTTAAAAGGATGCCGTTCTTATCCAAAATGACATTAACTAATAATAAAATGCCTATTGTGTCGCACGACTTTGGATAAGTATTAGCACAGTGAAGAATGGCCAGCGCAAAAATGAAGTATAAAACAAAAAAAAAGAGAACATCTGACCTCGGGCACCATGTATACCGCATACATGTATATCTAAAAAATAAAATATATAAGTGAGCCGGAGGTATTGTGAAAGATATCTTATGATCTAGTGATCTGATCGAAATTAGATAATTTTTGTACCATTTAATTCGCCTCAAAGAGACGGTTAAATGATATAAAAATCAACTAGTTTTGATCACTGAATCATAAGATATCTTTCACTTGCCCACAATACTAGTGTTTGGTTTAATCGTTCCAAACTCTACACAATACCCTGAGATCTGATTGGTTGACCAGGTGGGTGTATATGCGCTAAATTAAGAGAATAGTTTGATAACTCAAACTTATCTTACTATATTTTTTTATTACAATCTGTAGCTTCACATGAGCATTGCTATAGCCAGTGTTGTCAATTGACAGCTTTGGACAGACTATAGCGTTATAATATAATTTAAAATTTAATCGTTACAGATAATTACTCCGTCATAACGAGGTATCTGCTATAATAGGGTAGACTGTAGTAAACTGCCAATTATTGTATTTGGGTGTTTACAATGGCTAATAGTGTTTGTAGGTCTATGACACTATCGCAAAATGAGACGTGTTTTTTTTCAAAAAATGATTAATCTTCTGGTTTTTTATTTTAAACATATACCGACTTCTCTGAAAAAAACGACTAGTCGATTTTGGAGAGAATCAGTGACCCGGCTTTTTATTTTAAAAGTCCACTCAAAATTTACGGTCTAGAAAAATTTATTGGCGGATTAAAAATTAATAATTTACAGTTCATTACATCTGGAGTTTGTTAAAAGGTTCACTGTAGAAAACTTCGACTATACCTTGATGTTATATTCTATTGTTGTGTTTTCATAATGTGGTCAGCATTTTGGGGACCATCCTGGCTAACTTTATTTTGTTAACAATATTTACAAATTTTAAGTGTCACTATATATACAAAACGTCGTGCACTGTTCACTTGCGCACCGTGTGCAATGTGTACGAATTGTATTATTAGCTTCCTGCCTCATATGGTTTTTTTGGATGATTCTCTTCTTTCTTGTCAACTATAAATAATAACATTATATATAAAGCAATTAATTATTGATGTTTTATACTATCTACATATGTAATTAGTACAGTATAAACCAGGTTTTTTTATAAAACTCTTCTTTGGTGTTGCCTAGTAAGATTATAATTCATAATACCAGCTTGTTAATCATGGATACGAACGGTATTAGCCCTCTTGAAATCAATGAATATTTCGATAAAGTTTATGCTTTCATAGATTATGAGAATACAGTACCTCAACAACATTTTAAATTCGTGCGAAATTGGATTCTCAATGATCAATCAATTAACGGATTGAAGAAAAATCATTTAAAAAGTGCTTTGGATGAACGTGAAAACAAATGGAATGTTTCTCAGCAGGAAGGAATAGAATATATATGTAATAATTGTCAATGCCCGATTCATGCTAACCAATATTGTGAATTCTGTATCAGAAATTTTTTAAAGAAAGGTTTTAATGTCTGGACTTCAGGGAATAATGATATAGATAAAATAATTCAAGATGCTCAATTGAATGCAACTTCACCTGATTCAATTATTGAATGGGTTCCTTAAGGAGATTAAATACAAAACTAGAGGTGGTTGTGCTTTAATATTTTCTGCAAAGTGGAATAACGGTTCTTACATTAAATGGAATTCGGAGAAAAAGATGCTTGAAAGGTTTGGTGAACAAGAAGTCATTCTGAAAAGACTTAATAGCTCTAATAAAATGAGAAAAAAATGGTTAGAAGAAGTAAGTTTATTGTATTTATTCATATGTATCCTTTTAACAAATTATTGAATATGCGTATATTATAGGTCATATCCCATTTCATTTAAATAAGTTTGTTGAATGTCTTGTAAGTTGTTATGGATTAACCAGAGATCCATTCACGCATGAATTTATGTTGGTTTTGGATAGTTTGACAAGTAATTTGAGGCAATTTCTACAGAGTAATCATTTAATAACTTGGATTAGAAGAATAAATATTACTTTGGATATCGTTTCAAGAGTAGAGCGGCTTCATGATTCTGATTTAGTTCATCGCGATTTGCACACTTGTAATATATTGTTTAGTAAACAAAAGGGTCGATTTTATATTAGTGACATGGGCTTGTGTGCACCTATAAACAAACTTCCAAATCAAGTTTATGGAAATCTTCCATTCATTGCGCCTGAAGTATTATGTGGCAAACCGTATACTAAAAAGTCAGATATATATAGTATAGAAATGATCATGTGGGAGATTTCAACTGGAAAGCCACCTTTCAGTAATTATTTTTATGACTCTAATCTTGCTTTAGCAATTCTCGATGGATTTCGTCCTGAAGGAATTGAAAAAACTCCGCAAGATTATACAGAACTTATGAATCAATGTTGGGATGCTATTCCTGAAAACCGCCCTGAAGCCCAGATCGTTTTTAGAAAATTGATGAAAACTTTGACAAGGAACGTCAGAATTAACTAACACTACAAACTCTGCAAACTTACTGAATTCAAAATTATCTTTACCGACTTTTCACACGTCAGAGGAACATACTGAAACTATATATTCCAGTCATATTCAGAAAATCATTAATCTTTCTGAACCAACAAATGCAACTAAAGGTAATTTTGTATTTTTATTAAATAATTATTTGCACTGTTTTTATTAAATATATATTAAATTTTTTTAGACAAATCTGAAGGTAATTCTTACTTTGAAATTCATGATTCAAGAGCCGTATTTTAAAATTTTTTTTTTTAATATTTGTTTTAGCTTACTATAGCAAGCAATATGAATTATCTATCATGCATAGGTAGTGTTAATCATGATAACGATAAATCTTGATTTTGTATACCCCTGTAGAAATTTAATTAATTATAAGTAAACTATATGGCTAATAAACGACCAAATAATTAATAAAAAGGTATAATAATAAACTAAACCATATGATTATTAATAATTTATTGAAGTCTTCTAAAACGCAAAAGTATAAAAGAATTTATACATCTGAACAAAAAGCTGCAAGAAATGACGCTTGAAAAAAAGACTAGCTTCTATGTAGGGTGGTTGGCGCAAGTAATTTTTGATGGCATGCCATTAATGGTTTTTGACGCGCATGCACCATTTCTGATCTGAACTCAAGTGAAATATCGCTTAGGTAAATTTCAAACTAAAAGACAATTCCAGTGACTTTGCTCGTATTTTATGTTCTCTGACTGCCTACCATTCCAGAATTTCCAGATAGTAGATATATGTATAACCATAGGTAACCCGGTTGGAGCTCATAGAAAGACTTTCGTATGGTTGGCTGGTGTAAATAAATTACCCGAGTAACTTATTTATACACTTTAAAGTACTTTTTGAAAGTACTTTTTGAGAACGTAAAGTTTCACTAACTAAAACTATCGTAAATACCACTAATACGTGCGGAAGAGTGTTAACGTTCACTATGTAAAAATAATCACTACAATAAAGTACCTGGAGAACTTCACTTAGAAGCGAATATTATTTCACTGCTTATTACTATACTGGCTGTATATAAACGTTAAATGCCTGAAATGGTCAACCGAAAAAGACTGAAAAGGACGAACAAGACTTAAGTTTTACATACTAAAGAACTTTTATTATTGTTTAATTTATTAAGAAAGTTTTTAATACTTTTATGTCTTGCATAGTAGATTTTATAGGAATTAGTTCATTAGATCTGGCATCGTACAGGCTTTTTTATGTGTATCTAAGTGTTGGTATGTTCGGTATTCAGGTTTGAGTTCATTGTTAAATTTGTACTCTTTGGTTATAATAGTTATATGAGTGAAATTTTAATTTGCTTGTTTTTGTAGTGTATTAGTGTTTGTCAACCGTAAATTAAAAATTTTGGTTTATATCGTTTATATCTTTAATGAATTCGGGTTTATTAATAATAAATATCATATTTATCCATTTTGCACATATCTATATATTCTCTAAGTACATGTGTTGAAATGTTTGTGTGCTTTTACTAGTTTATAAGCTTCTTCATGCAAAGTTATTTTTTTTATTATTTTTTCGTTCTATAATAGTATTACATATTAAACCGATAATTTGTTTTAAAAATTATGTAATTTGATTGGTTAATTATCATAACTACCCACCAAAAATTTTCAGTAACGTGACTTTTGTACTATATGCCGGTCAATAAGCATAGAATGCTTTAATTATGATCGATCAATTACTAAAACGTTGTAAATATATACATTGCATACTGTTAGTTTTTCTTTTTTTTTTTATTTATTCAACTGAATATACAATATTTTATTGTTTAATAATCAATTTGTTTTGATTGTTCTCTATATCCAATTACAGTATTTATAATACTAACACATCCAAGAACATGATAGTTTTTAAATACAAGATTTATAATAATTGAAGTATAAGAATTACAATAAAAGTCCCAGCGTTACCAACAATCGAGGGCGCAGTCACATGATCTCCGACCTTACGATTCTCCGGAAAATTTTTCAAAGTTTATTTTTCGTGCTTTTACTAATCCTTTATCATTATTGTTATTCTGTGCACTACTGTATTGCTACGAAATAACTATTGGGTCGCTAAGAATTAATTTTAATGATTTTAAAAAAAAATTATCAGTTGTATTTGTCAAAATTAATTATTAGTTCTCT